CAAGACAGAGGCAAGAAGACCGGAGGCGGGGTCGGGAGCAGTGACTGACAGGGCCAAACTGCTCGTCTGCATGTACAAAATACGCCTGGTCAGAACACAAAGAACAAGGGCCTCACAGAAACAAAGAAGGCTCGGATCCCACCTGGATGGGAGTGCCATAAAGGCCTCATTAAAAAGAAGCCATTATGGCCTGACTCTTCATCCTGAGAGGACCGAATTATCCCTTTAGTTGACAGCTTTGCATGCCACGACCTTTTGTGCATCATGATAATTTTAAAGCTCCTCGGATTTATTTTCATGAGGAATGCGTTAAAGTGCCCCCCCCCCCCCAGTTGCCCTCACTCACTGTCCGAGCATGTCAGCCATCTGGTGTTGAGTTTGGGCACAGATCTACGATGGTTCGTCTACGTGTGTAGCATACGACTCGGGAACAAAGTCATGCATCAGTGCATAACAGAGAGCAGGCTTCTCACCTGTTTGAGGGATGCGTTTTCTGCGCAGGTGGTGGGTGACGTGGGGTGAAGGCTGATGGGGGGAGGAGGGAGGGGGCGAGTTGTGATGATGGGGTTTGGGCTGCACTCTTTTACTGCAGCGTATCATGGATGCCGCGCATGGTCAAGTAGGCTCACGCGGTGACTGCATTTCCATAGGCTGTGCGGCCAATTGTGACAGGTGTAGGTTGACGACACTGGTTCGCCAGTCTCAGTACCACGGAGTCGCAAGTGACCGATCAGGCCAGTGTGTGATGTGAAGGTGCGATCGCAATAGAGGACAGGTTAGGATCGAGTTGGGGGTGCACGGGGCGGTTGGGGTGGCAGTGGTGGGATGGGCGGCAGGGGGTTGGGAGTGTTCTCGCCGCAGCCGATAACTCATGAAACGCGACGGTCGAAACCCAGATGACTAGTGTGAGGCACTGCCAAGATTCCAGGCAAAACAGATACAGAGACATCTGTGTCGTAGTACTGGAGGCGTTCTTCTGTGCATTGCCTTGCTAACTCCAGTGGTAGGGACGTGCGGAGAGAAAGGAAATCGGCGATATTCGAAATTATGTCAGTCGCTACAAGATGCCGTTTTCTGAATCATCTTCTTTTTGGTCGTCTAAAAACTATACTTCGTAATAATGACTGCCTAAGTAGCATGAAATTTTCCCATTGAATTTTGATGCCCTAAATAAATTCAATCCTGTTTCACAGAAGATGTGTACAAAAATATTTCTTCCTTCACTCCTTTGTTAACAAATTACATCGTCTTTAAAGTTCATACTCAAAGAAAAAGTATCTTTCGGTTTTAAAAAGTTTATAATTATGAGATTTTTTAAAACCGTGAAATGTCCACCCGTACAGCATCGCAATAGCACGTTTACCGATACTACTTAAAAAGTATGCAACCAGGTTCACGCCCACTGTGCAATTTTATGAGTCCTATATAACACCCTCCTGAACAGTCTAGAGGAATATGCGATATTCCTCTGACAGAATGTTTACAGCGTGTAGTTTGGAAACAGCAAATGCCAATGTAATGGCAAATGGGGCAGAAATTAGTCGGGAAGTAGAACGGTTTTAAAAACCAAAAGATACACTCTCGCTTCCTGTAGAAAAGTCGGAAAAGGCGTAAGTGGCTACCACATGAGTATAAAAAATGAATCTGTTTGCTGTTTTATATAAAATATACTCAAATTTATGAGGTCATCGAAAGTCAACTGGAAGATTACGCACCGCGCAAGTAGCCATCATTTGCACTGAGTAGCTTTTCCAGACAATTGAAAAGAAACCGAGTTAGTCGTCGGCATCCAGGTGCGACCGAAATATCTTTGGACTATGCTGCTCGATAGTTAATATTGCAACCCTACTTAAATAGTCTTTTCAAATGGAAAGCACATTTCAGAATTTCGGCCGAAATTTCAGGTGTCAGCACATCTACTGTATTCATCATAGGCCTTCGTTGTGGCACCCAATTTTCTTAGACAAATAGGTTTCCCATCTGGATGAGTCTGCAAATATGACCCAACTCGCTGTCTGCATAAATGATTACGCCCGAGATCTCACTACTTAGGTAAGCGCCTTCTAAAACTGTCCTTTTTGTAGGTTCTGACAAACACGACCACAAAACCTATTATTTGGGAAATAATTTTTGAGCACCGAAAACCATAAAGTACTCTCGGACATTTCAAGGACGTCTTAAGGCGCAGCAGACTCCGCCATCACCAGAAAGTATACAGTAACTTTACGAGAAAAAAGGTTTCTTGGTGTACAGAAAGTGTTTTGTTCATAGTTGCATCTGTTAGTTCGAGTCGATCTTTTAGTCTCTGACTGACCTCTCGACATGTGACCTTAAGGGTGGTTTTATTCTTGTGACGTCCCTATCGGCTAAATCAGGCTAAATCCTTTGCAGTGTAGTCAAACATATTCCGAACAATGCTCAGACGGCAATATTATACCGAATTCTCGGGACATTCTTCTTGAAAAATGACCAAACATAAAGGAATTTACCTCCAGCCACATTGCATATTGAACGAGTTCTTGAAGGAAATCTAGTCCGAAAATTTTGCAGTAAGATTTTTCGAATGTTGTTTTGCTTATGCTGTTTTATGCACTTAGTCGTTTGCATGGAGAAGCTTTGCACACTTCTGGAAATTAAGTTTACTCGTTTCACGGGAATATTCACGTTTTCAACATATCCGCTTTTTCTAAAAAAATACTTTTTTGGCGAGGTTTGGTTCTGCAGCCCCACTTGATTTATAGCATGTGGCTAGCTTACTAAGACAATATTCTTTAACATACCTAATTTAGCCATTCGCTGGATTAGGAAGGGAAAGAGGGCGTAAGCATGTGCAGGGAAGCGCATGGAGGTGGCGTATACACATTCTCTCCGCGACACAGACACTTGCTGGATTAGTAGGATAAGGGGGGTGCAACCACAACTGGAAGGCCACGGAGGGGACCGCGTGGTAATTCGCAGTGCATGACCATTGTAGTGGAACGCCGTCTTCCCGGACATTCAATTTACGATGGAGGAGGAGGAGAAGGAGGAGCAGGAGGAGGAGGAAAACAATCAGCTGGCCTTCCTGGATGTCCTCGTCTGCAGCAAAGATTGTGGTGGCCTAAAAACCAAAGTGTTCAGGAAAGCGACAAATACGACGCAAATACTGAACTTCAATAGCAATCACCCGATCAGCCACAAGCGCAGTTGCGTAAGGGCGCTATACCGGCGCGTTGAGACGCACTGCAGTGAAATGAAAGACAGGGTTGCCGAATTACAATACCTTCGATGGGTAATGAGAACCAATGGCTACCCGCGCAACTTTGTCAACCATTGCATACGAAAACGACACCAGAGACCAAATCCAACCGGCCCCAAATTTTGGCGGGCTCTGTCGTACGTGAAGAACGTCTCGGAAGCTGTCAGTCGTCTTCTCACTCCACTTGGAATTGGGGTTGCACACAGGCCGGAAGCAACCATTAGGCGCCAAGTCTTGAGGCCAAACGACCAGCTGCCACGACAGTAAAGTCTGGGGTCGTTTACCGGATCTAGTGTAGTTGCGGACAAAGCAATTATGTCGGAGAAACTGGGAAATTATTCCGTACGCGAATTGCCGAGCACGCAGCAGCAGTGAGGCGGGGAGACGCTAGCTTTCAGGTGGCGGCACACTCGACGGGACCCGGCCATATTTTCAAATTTCAAGAGGCCGAAATCCTCGCAAGGGGTGACAACCGCGTAAACCGCGAGCTGCTCGAGTCATGGTTCTCAAGCCCGCAATCTATCAACAGGTGCAATGACCTCCCGGTACCATATTCCGTGCTGAGATTTTCCCTAGGCAGGGGAATCAGTCACGTGGGG